TGAAGGACCGTGAGCCAGGTGACTTCTAATCACCTCGTGCTCAGTGAAGGGGAATGGGCACAGCAGCCGGCCCGGGAGCACACCCACAAAGCATCCCAAACCATCTCCCAGCAGTGGAGGTGTGCACAGCCCTGGGCCGCAGACCTAGCCGTCAGGCGGCAGGGAGTCCTCGGGCCAGAATGGCGCCGACTTAAATGGAGCAGGACAGCAACGGCGGCAGCAAGGCCAATGTGGTTGTCAGTGCAAAGTCTGGGCGGTGTTGCCAATGTGGAGATGAAGTCTGTGTCGCCAGTGCTGGGCTACCCACCGAAAGGTGGGCGGTTTGACACCCCCCGCCCTCCGTGGTACCACGAATCCGCTTCTTACACAGGCTGAACAAAGTCCCGAACGGAGTCCTGCCGCCCTAGCAGCAAATCTTAAGGTGACCCCACAAGGCAGACATTTTTGGGACAATGCTGGCCCTGCCCAGCCCTGCCCTGCCCACTGCCTCCTGCTCCAGGCAGGTGCTGGGCTCAGGAGGATGTGCTCTGGACTCCTTTTCTGAGGCTATTAGGCTTGGACTCTCTTTTCCTCCCTTACTCCCTCCCTTCCCAGGGCAGACACATCCCTCCTCACCTCCCTCCCCCTCCCAGCATCAGCCCCAGGGCTGCAGCCCCAGGGAAGCAGCCTCCTCCCCCCACCTCCCCTGCACCTCACAGGACCCTCCCAGTGCAACCTCCAGGAGCCACTGAGACCCTCCAGGTCTGCTCGCCCCACCGCCCAGCCCCGCCAGCGAGACGCATGCAGGGACTCACTGGGCAGGGTGGTGACCTTGCTGATGTTCTCATCTCCGCCCGCGCTGTTTGGAGGAAGAAGGGAAAATAGTGATGCTTCAAATGTCAGAGAGGCCAGAGTCCTCCCAGCTCCATGAAGCAGCCAGACCTCTCTCTGCATTAAGCAGAACGCCCCCAACCCGTTGCCTTTGAACTTGCCGTCTCTCCACCAGCCAGCAGACCACCGGAAACCGAGCCGGACACAGCCTCCTTCTGAAAACCACTCCCCTGGAATCTCTGACTTTAAATATACAGACATCTTTGCTGTTTTGCTTTCAGCTGGAGCTCCGGCCTGGGGGCAGGGACCCAAACAGGCCGCTCAGGACCCCCTGGCTCTTGGGCTGCAGAGAGCCCAGCTCTCTTCCTACTGGGCTTGGGAGTCCATTTTTACAAGGTGTCTTCTGGGCTGCAGGCCGTCTAGCAGGACAGCCTCGAGTGCGAAGGAGATCAACGTCTGACCGACCGGTTTCCAGGCATGAAAACGTGCAGCCTTCCAGACTTGTTTGGATCCCGGGGTCTGGGATCGTCTAAAAGACTTTATAACATGTTTGGAGCTTAGCTTGGTGCGACAACCCCAAGGAGGATGGCAGAGCTACAGTCCTGGGTGCCAGGCGGGGATGCCCAATTCCAGGCAGAGGAAGTGCTAGGCCTGCGGGCCAGTGCAGGGCACAAGCCAGGGGCACAGAGCACACAGGGAACGCTGGAGTC